ACAGACAGATAGACAGACAAAGAGAGAAAGAGACAGAGAGAGAGAGAGACAGACAGACAAGAGAGAGAGACAGACAGACAGACAGAGAGAGAGACAAACAAGAGAGAGACACAGACAGACAGACAGACAGACAGACAGACAGACAGACAGACAGAGAGAGCACTCTCTGACGAACAGCAACATCGGGCTTGACGGTCGAGCAGCAGAACCCGCGCTCGCAGGAAGGGACCGAGGGCGGCGGTCACATGATTTGCAATACGAGAGAAGGAACACGGTGGCGAGTTCGCTTGCTTCTCTGTCTGTCTGTCTGTCTGTCTGTCTGTCTGTCTTAGTCTCTCTGTTTCTCTCTCTGTCTGTCTGTCTCTTAGTCTCTCTCTTTCTCTGGATCTCTGCCTGTCTCTGTCTTGTCTCTGTTTCTCTGTCTGTCTGTCTCTCTGTCTGTCTGCTATCTCTTAGTCTCTCTGTCTCTCTGTCTTCTCTAAGTTCTCTCTGTGTCGTCTGTCTCTCTGTCTCTTAGTCTCTCTGTTTCTCTCTCTCTCTCTCTCTCTCCCCCTCCCTCCCTCCCTCCCTACTTCCCTCCCTCCCTCCTAGAAGAGGGGGCCCGATGAAGGGGGAGGGGTGAGGGAGAGAGAGAGGAGGGGGCGAGGAGAAGAGAGGAGGAGTGGGAAGGGGTGAGGGGGGACATCGCTGCGGGCTGATGCCATTCTTCGCGTGATGGTAACCATGGCAACGACATCCGGGAACTCGCCCTTGTGATAAACTCGTTCTGTAATTTTCTGTTCCTGTTGGCGGGATGAAGGAGAGGGGGGGGGGGAAGGGGGGGGAGAGAGGGAGAGAGGGGGAAGGGGAAATGAGGGAGGGAAAGAGGAAAGGAAGAGAGAGAGAGAGAGAGAGAGAGAGAGGAGACGAGAGAGAGAGAGAGAGAGAGAGAGAGAGAGAGAGAGAGAGAGAGAGAGAGAGAGAGAGAAGGAAGGGGAGGGAGGGAGAAGATAGGCAGGGAGGACTGAAAGAGAGAGAGAGAGAGAGAGAGAGAGAGAGAGAGAGAGAGAGAGAGAGAGAGAGCAAAGAGATGTATATACCACAGATCTCCAAATTTATAAAACTATTACCTGAAAATTGTTCAACTGAACACTAACATGAAGTCCAGTTGATGATTACTGAAGAACATGTTATTTAGTATTTCAAAGAACAATGCACAGTTTAGAGAATTCTGAATACATATAATCTGTTCAATGATGAGTGTTCAAAAGCGTGCAGTTGTTTGAAGAGCAATCCCTGTGTTTCATAGTTGTTGTTTACACAATCTTATGTTTTTTTTTTTTATTTATTGTATTTTTTATTGATATTTATTGACCTCTTTCGACGAGGTTAGCAACAATTAATTTTTCGATTTTTCTCTTTCTGTGATTCAGTGGGGATTCTGCTGTTTTGTTGTTGTTGTTGTTGTTATATTTTTCTTTCGATCTCTGTCTGTCGTCTCTTTGTCTCTGTCGCTCGATTTTCCTTTCTCTCTCTCTCTCTCTCTCTCTCTCTCTCTCTCTCTCTCTCTCTCTCTCTCTCTCTCTCTCTCTCTCTCTCTCTCTCTCTCTCTCTCTCTGCCTCCTGCTCAGCATTTCCCTCCTTCCTTTTCACCCCATCTCTCATTCGCCCCTCCCATTCCCTCCCTCCCCCCTCCCCTCCCTCCCCCTCCCTCACTTTCCTTTCTTTCCCTCCCTCCCTCCCTCACCTTCCTTTCTTTCCTCCCTCCCCTCCATCCATTCCCTCCATTTCCTCCATCCATTTCCTCATCCATTTCCTCCATTCCCTCCCTCCCATACCCTCCTCCATTAATATACGCAATAACCTACGTAACGTACCCTTTCACCCCCTCCTCTCCCCCCCCCTTCCCCTCCCCCTCCCGTTGCCTGCTACTCACTAACGTACCAGACGCTCCCTTCTCCCCTCCTCTCCCCTCTCCCCCCCCTCACCTCCCCTTCTCCCTCCCTTCCCTCCCCTCCCCTTCCTCCTCCCTCCCTCTCTCCTTCCCTCCCCTCCCCCTCTCCTCCCCCTCACACTCCCCTCTCCCCTCCCCTCCCTCTCCCCCCCTCCTCCTCCCCCTCTCCTCCTCTCCCTTCCCCTTCCCTCCCCTCCCCTCCCTCCCCTCCTTCCCTCCCCCTCTCCCCTTCCTCCCCTCCCTCCCTCCCCTCCCCTCCATCCCTCCCCCTCTCCCCTCCCATCCCCTTGCCTCCCCTCCCCTCTCCTCCCCCTCCACTCCCCTTCTCCCCTCTTCCCCTCCCCTCCCCTCCTTCCCTCCCCCTCTCCCCTCCCCCTCTCCACTCCCCTTCTCCCTCTCCTCCTCTCCCCTCCCCTCCCCTCCTTCCCTCCCCCTCCTTCCCTTCCCCTCCCCTCCCCTCCTTCCCTCCCCCTCTCCTCTCCTCCCCTCCCCCCCTCCCCTCTCCCCCCTTCCCCTCTCCCTCCCCTCACCCCCTCACCCCCTTTCTCTCCCTGCCTTCACCAGCTGTCAGCCTCTTGTCAGCCCGTGTCAGCCATCTCTGCAGTCCGTTTGGCAAGGCTAATCTTATTCCCCTGTACCCTGTCATCAGCCTTTGTCACGCTGAGGCTAATTCTGTACCTCGTGTTTAGTCTGTTTTTATTTATTTATTCATTCATTCATTTATCTGATCTTTTTTAGTTATATATATATTTTTTTTGTGTGGGGGGGTATCTTGCGTGGGGGGGGGGGTATGGGGTATGGAGGGACTTGCGTGTGTGTGTGTGTGTGTGTGTGTGTGTGTGTGTGTGTGTGTGTGTGTGTGTGTGTGTGTGTGTGTGTGTGTGTGTGTGTGTGTGTGTACACGCGCATGCCCATTGCTTGTCTGCCTGTCTCTCTGTCAGTGTTCGTCTATATGTTTGTATATATATATGTATTTGTGTTTGTGTGTATGTATGTATGTATGTATGAATGTATGTACATATGTAGGCCTATGTATGTATGTATTTATGTATGTATTACATGCGCACATGCCAGTTGTGTTCGCTGTACTGCTAATTATTGTCTTCCCCATAAATTTTATTACCCAACAGGTGTGCTGTTTGTTGAGTTTTTATCATGTATTATATATATATATATATATATATATATATATATATATATATATATATATATATATATATATATATATATATATATCGTAACTAACTGGTTGTACATTTCTTACAAGACGTCATTTTATTCTTTGCGATTTGTTATTTTCACATTTACTATAATATAGCAAATGATTCAGTCATCTGCCATTATATATATTTACATATATATGTCTATATGTATGTGTATGTGTGCATGTGTGTGTGTGCACATTTGTGTGTGTGTGTGTGTGAGTGTTAACCCTTATTTAACCCACATTTTAACCCCCACTCCCTCCTGACACCTTCGAAGCTTCCTCCCCCCCCTCTCCCCTTCACCTCCTTCGAAGGAACCTCCTTCCTTCGAAGCTTCCTTCCCCCCCCCTCTCCCCTTCACTCCTTCGAAGCTTCCTTCCCCCCCTGAAGCTCCTTCACCTCCCTTCGAAGCCCCCCCGATTCTAATCTCTTCCCCCTCCGACAGAGATGGACCCACATGCCGAGCCCTTCAGCAGCTGAGGGGCGTTGTCGAGCAGGATCCCATGGCTCCCTCCGTCGGCTGCGTCCGCGAGGGGAATGGAGGAGCGAGGGGTGGACGCCCCTTGGTCACCCGCCTCTCCTACAGCCACCACACCCACCTCCTGACCTTGGCTGACCTCCTTGACGGGTGCCCCAGGGTCGAACCTCTCCGTTACCAGGGTGAGTGGAGGGAAGAGAGAGAGGAGGGAGGAGGAGAGTGGGAGAGAGGGAGAGAGGGAGGAATAGGGAGAGTGGGGTAGGGGGATAGGGAAATGGAAAGAAAGATGGGAGAGGGAGTGAGTAAGAGGAAGAGAGGGAGAAGGAGAGAGGAGAGGGAGAGGTAGGGAGAGGGATATATAGATAGATAGATAGATAGATAGATAGATATACCTGCGTCATTCACATTTTATCTTGTTCACACTTTTTATCAGATTCAAAAAAGATCCTAAAAATTGCATAAAAAACTGAATACCAAAAATCTCATTTAGCACTTCCTAACAGATACCAAAACCGATAAAAGAAAATTGAATTATTTCCTCTCCACACCTTTCATCAGATTCATAAAAAAGAAAGAAAGAAAGAAAAAAGAAGTAACAATGATAGTAAAAAAAAAAAAATCTAATTTGATATTAATGTCTATTCTTCCCGCCTCTTACCAGATACCAAAGAAAATATCATATCAAAACACCGTGCTGGGGAGGCCTTCACCATGTGTCGGCTCCTCGTCGGCTGCAGTGACCAGGAGAACACCATAGAACTGGAGGTATGTCTCAGAACGGCACTGTACTAAAGGTGTCTTTTCTCTTTTTTTTATCCTTTCTTTCTTTTACTTTGTTTTTGTCTTGTTGTTGTTTCCTTCTCTCTCTTTTTTTCTTTTTTTGTTTTGTGTTCATCTTATACTTTGTGTCCATCTTTTCTTTTTATTTGTTTCCTTCTCACTTTTTTTTTCTTTTTATCTTTCTTTGTTTTATGTTCATCTTCTTTTACTTTGTTTCCTTTTCTTTTTCTTTCTTTTTTAGTTTTTTAGTTTAGAGAGAGAGAGAGAGAGAGAGAGAGAGAGAGAAGAGAGAGAGAGAGAGAGAGAGAGAGAGAGAGAGAGAGAGAGAGAGAGAGAGAGAGGGAAGGCAATTTTACCTCTGAGGATGAATGAGATTTGTATTTGCAGTGTCCTATATTAGCTAGAAAAAATGTCTCGGAAGGAAGGATGGGCTGCCTCTTCTATACTAAAGTGAATAGTCTCCTCTAAATCAAAGAGAATTGATTACTGTCCCTTATGATCAGAGAAAACAGAAACGGGAAATCTATTTCAAGTTCAGGAGAAGACATGATGTGCAAATGGGGCAGGGCGAGGAGGGATAGGGAGCAGGTAAAGGCATCAGACAATGGAACTGTGCGAGCGACATTGCATCAGAGGTTGTCATGGCAACGCTCTCCTTAACCTGTGTTCGTAGTGTTTGATGTCAGTGAATTATGTTTGGTATTATTAAAGGTTATAAAAGCATATATATGTGTAAGTGGACACATGCATTAATGAATTGAAATTCTTGTATGACTTTTCTAATGCAATTATCATAGGAAGCAAATTTATCCAACGTATATATATATATATATATATATATATATATATATATATATTATATATATATATATATATATATATATATATATATATATATATATATGAATATAGGCAGCTAGCAAGATAGGCATTGATATAGATATAGCAATCATTAACAGTGATCTAATAGATAAGATTGCCCAATAAAAGAATAGATATATTTACAAAAGCAGTTGAAAGATTTGTCCTACTGAACAAAAATCACCATTAATGCATTGATTACCATTTCCTCATTAACCCATTACCTACCTTTCCACAATCTTCCCAAGATTCTTCCAAACACAAATATCTCAGTCCATGAAAACCCTCATTAACCTGCCATTTCTCAAGTAATTGAAGATCACCCATTAATGCATCGCTTGCCATTCCCCAGAAGTTCACCCCAACGGCACTGCACGTGGCCTGCCTGCTGCCCCAGCCGGGTCCCCTCATCAGCAAGCTGGTCAGGTCGGCCAGACTCCGCTGCATACTGTCTTGCTTGGTAGGTTTCCATTCCCCTTTGTGGGGGTGTGAGTTTTATTTGTTATTATTCATCTTTCATAATTATTTTTATTTTTTGTTTATATTTTACTACGCGGGTATTTATTTTGACATTTTTGTTTATTTTGTGTCTAACGTTTTTTTTTGTTTGTTTGTTTATTTTGTGTGCATTTAAATGTAGAATAGGTACTTGGCCGTCTTTGAGGTTATATTTTACGGATATGATGGTATTTCAGTATGTTCTGTTACATATTTCTGTATGTGATATGCTGTAAGATACTGCAGCAGGGTAATGGTTTAGCGACTTTTTCACACTCCAAGAATTAGTCCCATCACAACTCTTTTTACAGGTGATGTGAGGAGTTCCAGCTTGATAGAGGCTTTAGAGGCACTGATAGCAAATGGTGCAGATGTGAATGCAAGAGACAACTCTGGTGAAACACCCCTTCACTGTGTGCGGAATCTGTTACGGGAGGGACTGTATGAAAGGGCGGCGGAGGTTGCGCATACACTGCTCGTCGCTGGTGCACATATTGATGCTGCGAATAACAAGGTGAGAGCATGGAGTGTGGTGATGGTAGCAAGGGGGAGAGGGCTTGTAGAGTAGGTGATATTTTGACAGTGGAATTATTATCATTTTATAGAAGGAGGGAGAGAGGGGGAGAGAGAGAGAGAGAGAGAGAGAGAGAGAGAGAGAGAGAGAGAGAGAGAGAGAGAGAGAGAGAGAGAGAGAGAGAGAGAGAGAGCTCCAACTAATCGTGTCTGCCTTTTCAGGGTCGAACGTTATTGACATATAGCGTAGAGTACCTGGACGATGCTCTTGCACTCACAAGGACCTTGGTTAACCACGGCTCTTGTGTTTGGGGAGCGGCAGATGGCAGGGACAAAGATCAAAGTGTCTTTGCTTGGTTTCTTAAGGTAAAGACCAGTTACTCCATTATATAATTGCTATTCATAGTTGTATAAGCACTGTTAGGCTTAATCTTTGACTGTTGAAAAATATGGTCTTGAATTTCCTTATATCTGCTATAACATAATATTTTCCTTATGTAATTTATATTGTAATGTAGATGCCCCTCTTTTTTTTCTCATTGTACCATTTGCTCATACATAAACCTCTCTAACTTTTTTAAAACTTTCCTTTCCAGGCTGTGATTTCTCATCAAAGGCTTGAAAATTGTTCAAGCACAATTACTATAATCTCACAGTTGATGGCAGCGGATCCGAGAAGAATGCATCAACATATTCTTAGAACCATGTTTAGACAATCTAGGTGTTATCATGTAAGTATCATTGTAACTGGATAATCATTGTTTTTTTCTAAATTTGCCTTTCATTCCTTTTATTTTCCTCCTTCTTCCCCTCACCCCCCTTTTTTTTGTTATCTTCCTGCTCTTATGTCTTCCCCTGCTTTAGCTTCCTCCTCTTCTGTCCTCTTTTCCCTTCTGTATCTTCTTCCCCCTCGTCTTCTTAATCTTCCTCCACTTCCTTTTGTTCTTCCTCTTCCTCCTTCTCTTCTTCCCCCGTTTTTTTCAATCTTTCTCCTCTTCCTCCCCCTATTCTTCTAGTTTGTTATCTTCCTCTCCCTTCTTTATCTTCCTTTTGCTCTCCTTCCCCTTCTTTATATTCTTACTCTTCCTCCCCCCCCCTTTTTAATCTTCCTCCTCTTTCTCCCTTCCTACATATTCCTCCTCATCCCCCCCTTTATTTTTGTCTACCTCCTCTTCCTACTGTTCTTCTTCCCTTTTTTATATTCCTCCTTTCTCTTTCCTCCTTATTCACCTTCATGTCTTCCAGATGTAATTCACCGAATCTTTTATTTTTCTACCATTTTCAGGGTTTCCTATTTTTCTTTCTTAAATTGGTCATATTTTTCTCTTTCTTCTCTTCCTTCCCCTCTTCTTCCCCTTCTTTATCTCCTCCTCTTCCTCCCATTCTTCTTCCCTTTCTTTATATTCCTTCTCTTCCTTACCCTCTTCTGTTGTTTTCCTGATATAATTCACTGAATCTTTTATTTTTTACTTGTTGCAGGTTTTCCTTTTTTCTCTTTTTATTCTTTCATAAGAGCAGGGATGTCAAACTCGCAGTTATAACCTAATATGAAACAGATAGCAAACTAGAGCAGGGATAAAAAACATAATTAAAATCCTACATGTCAGCAACAAAATACTCATTTGATTATGATGTATGCTATATTTATGAAGGTAAAAGTGGATGATTATGTGTACAACACAGTTCATGGCTGGAGCATCATGTGGGCCTTGGGCTGCATGATATATTGTATCAGCCTGTGTCTTTAACACCCCTGTCTTGGATGTTGCCTTTGCATTAGATGTTATTCTATGTGTTTGTACTATGATATTCCTTTCAGCAAGTCTTTAGTCAGTATCAAGTGGTAACCTGCTCTAATAACTGAATTGTTTGTTTCCTCATTACAGATTCTGGGCCCCTTATTCTTGGAGCTCAAGACGCTAATGATGCCTCACTGGACGCAACCTGCAAGCCTCTCGTTCCTCTGCTGGCAGACAATCCGCAGATCACTCACACCAAAGAGAATACACTCGGGAACGCCCCAGCTGGGTCTTCCGCCTCCTCTCCAGTCTTATATCCTACTAGAAGAACCTGGATTCTGTTCATAGCTGCTAAATTATTCATTAGAATTATTAATAGTAATGATAATATTGATATTGAATTTCATTAGAAAGACTTGGAGTCCATTTTTTAAAACAATTTCCAGCTCCTAGCAGATGGACTCCACCACAGAAGATTGTGTTTATGATTAACCCAAGAAAAACCTTATTAGGGACAGACTCGAAATGTATATAAGTGCTTATGGGAGAACTTGGTGATCCACAAGTGCTCTGTCTCTTTTGGAGATGTGACTTAAAATCTCCTGGCTGTGTTAACTCCTATAGGAGAGTCATGTATGTGTGTGTAATGATGCTTACTGTGTGAGAGCTTTTATTTTTTCTATGAAGTATGTCAGGGTGACCTTTCCTTAAAAGTAGCCATAGAGATTTTTTTTTTTTTTTTTTTTATATCTTATTTTCAATGATTTTACCTACTAGGTCTTTCATTTGCAGTCTCAATTCAGTTTCATGTTCCTCTTGCACAGAGGTGTGTGTATGCGTGTATATATATTATAGTCTTTAATGCTCATTCTTTTCCTTCTCAATATAAGTAACAGCATAGAAAATATAGAGCAGGGTTTATGCTTGCCAGCACTATTGTGCCTTACATTATAATGTTAACAGTGTATTGGAAGACCAATTTTCTAGGAGAGATCTTTCTTTTTCTTCCTTTTTTTTTTTCAAAGAATACTATTTCCCTTCTCGGAGACTTATTTTGACGACAGATTTGCCTCAAGAGTCTTCCTTTACTCCAGAGAAACTACTGTACAATATACTTTCTAGTGATTTATCCTCCCAAACAAACCCCACAGGAGAGAGAGCCTTTCCCTGTTGTTTTCCGCGTAGGTGGTTGGAACGGTTAACATTCGCACATCACCAAACAAGTGCCAAACAATTAAAGTGGTGTCTTTTGTATTTCAGTGTCAGATATTTTTTTTTCTGTAATGTGAGCCATGTGCTAAGTACCCAGTAATTGTAAGCATTAGGAGGCATGTTGTATGGTGTTGCTTTCGCCAGATTGTATCCGCCGGCGGTAACAGCATTAGACAGTGCCTCAATATCATCTTACGAGCCTTTCCATCCGATCATATATATGAAACCATCTACGTCTCCGGCTGCACTACCCGGCTCTTTACGGGACAAATACAGCACACCTGCATGTGCATCATAATCTTTATCCCAGTCAAAAGCAAGTCACGACCGATACAGGACCAACTGTGGCAGACTCACGAGCCGTACGCTCGGTAGGTTACCTCGGTTGAGTTGATCTCTCTGATGATACCCCTTAACTACAGACAATCCGTCGATCTCGCTACATACAATGAGCTACTTATAACTACAAAACTGAATGGTGCCCAGCTAATGAAATAGTAAAGTTGAAAGTAACAACCCTGCCTCCACCTCCTACACCTTACTTTTTGTAGAGAAATTCTATCCTGGTCGTAAGACTAAATGCTACCACTATAATGCGCGGGTAATCAGCGAGTACTTTAGCCAGTCTATCGCTGAGAATAGTGACTCGTGACGACCTATAGAGCCATTCACCTTCTATCGGTCGCGGGATTTGAGACCGGCAGGTCACAACAAAACCTCCGCATAGGGGGCCGCTCCAACTTCTGTAGATTGTTTGAAGTTCCGCCCCTATTGAGCAACACATCAGTAAAAGCCACGGCTCGCTCGGTTCACCCGGCTATCCCCCGAGAGGAGCGCTTATAGCAACTGCTCAAGTAGCGATTGACACCGTGTTGCAAAAACGCTTGCAGAGTGAAGCGCCTGCGTTGTTGATAGGCTACGACTGTTATGAAACAGTCCGCCTAAGACTCGAAGCGAAGTATGACATGGATTTCAGATACATATCCCCTTTAAGGACTGCTGCAATCTTGGAGCGTATACCAGAGATTACTACCACGTCACGTGCACATGGCTCAATAGAAGGAACGTCGCCCTGAACGATCTGCTTTCTGCACAATCCCGCGGGTAGCCGTACGGGTAACGATATGATCACTACAACACCCTTCTGGGTACGATGAGACAGTAGGAAATCCTAGCTACTGCTGTTCTAGGAAGACGACTACGAGGTGCACCCGCATCGCGCAGGTACTTTCCTATGATGATCCTCATCAATTGGTCATACGCCGAAGCACGGCCACGTACGCTATCTTGACTATTTATGGTAGCATCTAAATCGAGGCATCGCCCCTCAGTATAACCGTGCTAGAACTGCCGAATGTACGTCAACAAGCTAGCGCTTGCCAGCACCCGCCCCATTACACATAGGGATTGTCTCGCGCAAGAGATCGGGGAGGTCCGCTCATATGACGCCACAGCATGCTTCCTTGCCTAAACTGCGAAAAGTTCGAATGCGGACCTCTCACTGTAAATAGAGCACGGAAATCCCGACGGTATGGTATCAGCGCGCTGAAAAGTAATCTTGGCAGAGCCGCCAAACAGCGTTTCACCATTGAAGCTTTCGATTGCGCCCAGATTAATCCAGCAACTGCAGTTAATCAAGACGCCGTATACTTCACTACGACGGTACAGCTGACTGACCATCAAACTGTGCTGCATAGCAGGGCCGCGAAACCCCAGGGGTAGCCTTAAACCGGCCTTACGTCCCTGACAAGGCGGATAATAAACTTATCAGATCGTACGATACATCTATAGAAAGTAGTAATAACGCTCGACCTGTATCACACGTTTTCACTATGACTCTTTGGTTCTTGATTGGGTTACGACAGACTCACGTTGTAGAGCCGTTTTAACACTTTATCTTCGATACATAGTTATTAAGTCCACATAAAACCTTCAGTAACCGTTGTCACAATATTATTTGATTAGAGGTTCCTTCAAAAAGGTCACAATGTCTAGTTATAAATCATCACTATTTAGATGTTATCACAGTGTTACAGTAAGCCACCTGTTACAAGCTCAATTTTCTTGATGGAATATAATATGCATGTTTTTTCTCAATTTTCTTGGTGAGATACGACATGCCTGCTTTTCTCAATGTTCTTGATGGATTATAAGACGTGTGGTTTTTCTCAGTTTTCTTCATGGAGTATAAAGTTATTTTTTTTCTTTTTTATCAACAGGAGAGATTCATTCATAAATAACTATTTTCTTTAGCTTAATGATATTATTTACATTCGGAATAAGGCTGGAATTGCTGTTTGCAGTTTTCTACATTATGGTAAATGTGCTTGTCACTGCTTTGGGGAGTTTAGGAGAAAGACGTATTTTTTATTTAAGTATATTATGGAGGAAGTTGGTAAGAATTTATTATCCCCCCCTTTAAAAAAAAATCTGCCCCTTAACTTTTATTTTGGGAAAATACTATCTAATGAAAGATAGTGATGGACAGGTACTTGGAGACAAATGGATGGACCTCTTTCGACACAGACCTGCTTCGTGACAGGCTATCAAGATTGCAAATTCCTCTTTGAAATTATCTACATTGCATATGGTCTGATACGCTTTTAATACTTATAACATAAACCTCCCTTTTCCAAAAGAATATTCTTGCAGATATCCGTTGAGCAAAGAGAGTTTTACCATTTTTAGACCTTCTTTGACAATAGCTTAGTCTTTTATCTACTTTACACTTTTTTCTGCCCTCCCCCCATTAGATTAAAGGGTTCAATATTCCAAGAAACATTTCCCTGAAAGGTCCGTAGAAGAAAGGCAGGTGATATAAGCATTACTCAGGATTTCCGTTAGGTCATTCCCGTTGTCACGAATGGGAAAAGATGAACAGTACTGAATTTATCAGAGTTCTCTAAGTCGCGGTGATTGCTTTATTATGGTGTATTTGATGTTTGTTCTTATCCGCAGTAATTCCTCAACAATACTCAGGTGTCATGACTCATTGTGAATCATAATTCATTTATTCTTGCCCAATCAAGTCCATTTTTTTTCTTCTTGTACTTAGTTGAATTTTGAAGTAGTTTGTGTAGGCATTCTATGATTGTGAGCAAGGGGAACTGGCTGTCTGATTTGTGTTAAATACTGTGCAAAAGAAGATATTGTTTGCGTTGCCGGGGATTACCCCCTCATTATAGCTACGGGAATATGGTAACTCACATGAATGATTCCAAAAGAACGTGAATATTTGAAAACACTTTTATATATATTTTTTTTAACGGATAATAATAGCGAAATTAAAACTAGTTCCTTTTACAATAACCGAAAAGAAAAATATAGAAACACCTAGTAGCCCGCTGTGGCACAACGACTAGTCAAGGTTACCAACAGTTCTAGAAATCAGTGTATTTAGCATCAGTGACAAGTGACATGCTGGGCCTAGTTTTCCCACATAGCTAGCGTCCTGGACTTGACTCCCATGCGACAAAGATTCCGGTATGTGTATATAACTGGTGATGGTATAAGACTGAATTTTTGCCGACAAAAAACTGACTCAGTGAATACAGAAAGTGACAGTACCTGATTAACAGAATATGTCACACGGCCCCACAAACAAATGTATTTTGTGATATGACTAATTCTTTAAGAAAACTATGACGACAAGACCTAACACAGAAACTGCATATTAGGTCTTGTCATACAATAGGTGACTGTGTGACTGACGGAGACCTAGAGACATTTCAGTGAGAGTAACATATGATTTCTAGTGTGTAGTTAACAGGAAAAATTAAAAAAACGAATTATCAGTAACTGGTTGACAGAGACAGTCTGTAGTGAGTGTGTGAGAGTGCATATGTGTATAATAAATGCCTTGACACGAAGAACAAGTAGTCATTACTTGATCGAGTGAATACATTCATATCATGGAATCACAATAGGTGGAAGCTATTACCTAAGAGGTATTTTATTGTATGTGTTGTGAGAGGTGAGTGGGTGTGACCATCGTCTCCAGCTTGAAGACGGCATTAACCAGTCTACTGGAACACTATAACACGTCCAAGACACTGTGAATATTTTATATAAATTGTGTAATCTTTGCTGACTTACATGCCAGTCAAAGAGAAGATATGTATATTTACTTATAAAAATAAAGAGCCCAAAGTGCCAGCAAGAGTGTTATTCCTTCCTAAGCTTAAGCTGTAGATAATATTGTTTTGTCCTGTTTCTTGTTGCTGTTTTATATTTTTATTACTGTTATTTTTTTATTATTTTCTAATTATCAGTGTATATTTGCGATCTTTCTCCTATGCATCGGACCTAAACTTATTATTACATCTTTTTCATACATATCTGTCTCTGTCTCTCTCTCTCCGGAATATTTCTACACCATCTTGAAATCCCCGATGAGGTACGTGTATAAAGATTGTCAGGTATAATGGACAACTTATATGCTGAATCTGATTACGAAATATCCCGAAATAGATATATTGCTTCATAGTATATTTTCTCCAGAAACAGTCACTGACTGTAATTTAATTTCTATTTTATATGAATGTATATTCCCCGACGTGTTAATAGAGAAAAAACAACCTTAAGAGTGATGGTTAATATTTATTGCCACAATGAGAATTGAGAATAAGCGTGACGTTTCGAACTCTTCTCGTCATTTCTTACACACACACACACACACACACACACACACACACACACACACACACACACACACACACACACACAATTCACTGAACACAAAAATGAAAATGAAACTAGCCACAATGAGAATTGAGAATAAGCGTGACGTTTCGAACTCTTCTCGAGTTCCTCATCAGACAAAAAAACCGAAATGGATACTAGGAGAGGATGTCATATGCGAAGCTGAGCCTCGCCCGGGCTATGGGGAGCCGGCCTGTGCCGACTAATGTCGACTCGATCACCGTGTGTCAGCGAGTGCTGACGCGGCAGAGCTAAGTCCTTCCCCACCGTAGTGCCCAGCCACAGCAGTAACCTCCGGGCGACAATTGCAACTTCTCGCGCCTGGGCGGGGCGCGAACCGCCGACCCCTCGGATGAGAGGCCGACACGTTACCACTGTACTAGCCTGGAGGCTTACTAGGAGAGAATTTTGACAA